ATGGCATGTATTGATGTGCCATCCTGGAGGAGTTAGGCTGCCTGTGCAACCTCTGTAGGGTCCAGGTATTCGCCTCATGCTACCAGTAGTGACACTGACCCTAGCCAAATGCAAAACTAGTGAAAAATAGTCAGAAAAGAGGAGTAGGGAAAAAAATGTCAGTGGTCTCCACCTGTAAAACCATTCCTGTTTTGGGGGGTCGTCTCATTGTTGCCCATCTAGTGCACCTGTTGTTAATTTCATTAACACCAAAGCAGCTGAAATTGAACAACAACCCCCTCTGCCATTTATCTGACCAGATCAATATTCCAGGAGTTTAACTGACTTGATGCTATACACTGATTAAAAAGGGTTCCTTTATTTTTTTTGAGCAGTGTATATATGAGATAGATAGATAGATAGATAGATAGATAGATAGATAGATAGATAGATAGATAGATAGATAGATATAGATAATGCATTCACAGGTTACCCTAGCAGCTTATCTACTGATCACTATGCTTTATACAATAACAAAAATAGAGCAAACATGTAAAAATTTTAGTCACATCAAAAACATCTTTAGGTAAATGCATCAAAAAGCCAAACCACCTAATAAAAAGAAACCATACTCTCTCTTTAATACCTGGGAACATACCATTCTAAGTTCCTCATATCCCCAGGCATACACAGCAGTAGCTTTTTCAGCACCTGCTGTCTCAGAACACGTCATACATTTAGGTGAAGTCTGCTTTGTAATGGTGCACAGAGGGAAAGATTTGTTGCTGCTTTTAGAGCAAGTCAATGGACAAAGCTGTGCCACAGAAGGCGACACCACACACTATTTAAAGTAATGGGGTTAAAATAACAAACTATACACTATTTAAAGTAAGTTTTTTTTTGGGGGTTAAAATAACAAACATGTTATACTTACCTGCTCTGTGCAATGCTTTTGCACAGTGCAGCCCCAATACTCCTCTTTTTGGGTCCCCTGCTGGTGATCCTGGCTCCTCTCCCCCGCCAAGTGCCTTCATAGCAAACCATTTGCTATGGGGGCACTGGTGAGTTCTCGATCCCGAGCCGGCTCTGTGTGTCCATAAGACACATGGAGTGGGGCTCGGCCCCGCCCCCCCTTCCTCATCACTGGCTCTGACAGCAGAGGGAGCCAATAGCTCTCGCTGCTGTATCCGAGCCAATGAGGAATAAGAGAGAGGAGGGAGCCTCGGCTCTCTTGCACATCGCTGGATCGAGATAGGGTTCAGGTAAGTATTTGGGGGGGGGGGCTGTGGGGGAAGCTGTATGCAGAAGGTTTTTTACCTTCATGCATAGAATGCAGTAAGGTAAAAAAAAAAAAAAAAAAAACTTCTACCTTTACAAACATTTTAAAATGGCTGAAAATGCAGTATGTGTGTTCCTTACTATGGTTCATCAAAATGCTACATGCACCAATATATAAATACAAAATATACAAAAAGAATCCACTAACTCTTAATATTACATTATAGAATGTGCAATGTAAAGCAAGTGAGAGAAATGGAGGAGCATGTGAAATGACTTTCAATTTAATATGGAACTTCAGGCAACACAATTTACATTCTTATATTCAAATAATATTAGAATCCAAAAATGATATATTTACGTTTAGACACTTTAGTGATTGATACACTCCTGCAACACTGCTTAGCCACCTCCTGAATGCCTGTTTTTTATTTTAGCAAACGGCAGTTTACAATGTGGCTAATGTGTTGAAACCATGCAGCAAGCGTTTGGCTGGCAGACATAGCCCCACTGACTTGAAGAGCTGAGTTTGACAGGCAGTGCTACCTGTCAACTTGACATGCCATGTTAAATTTGCTGGCTGTGACCAGCATTTTAGACTTTAGATGGGCAGCCGGGAAGGGAAGGAGAGGGTGCTAAAACCATGGCAAAGCCTGTTTATATCGCCCCCAGCCACCCATGTTAAAAAGAACAAACCATAATAAACACAGACCATCAGAACACTTTTCAATCTGTGTCTTCAAACAAATGGAGAACAACTTTTTAATGCACATCTAATACAATGCACTCCAGAAAGATTAGGGCAAAAAATGAATAAATAAATAAAGGAAAAGCAAAATAAATCTAAAAACACACCCACCATCCAGAAAGGTGCAAAAATACAAGTTCAGAAAGAGTGTACATAGAGCAAAAGCCTGCCATAGTGAGTGACAGTCAAAAAGTCTTTTTTCAGCTATGAAGTTGTGCTAGTAATCTGGCCTCAGGCTGCTCCAATTTTATCAAGTAGAATACAAGATTTTTGAATCAATCAGGGATGAACACCTGAAACGCAGACTGTGTGGATTCCATTCATCCCTGGGTGCACACTGCCCTACACCTTGTTAGCATTCGGTGCACCGTCTAGCCGCAGCAGCTGTCAGCCTCTCATAGTGTTTTACAGGTTGCCAGCAGCGACATCTGTGCCTTCCACCTGAACCTAAACATCGGAGTCTCATACATCAAGGGCCAGAAGCCCAGTTTGTAGGACTCCTAAGATGCATCAAGCAATAAAGCCTTTACACCACTAGTCTGGGGGGTGATGAATAGGTAGGATCAGGATTGTTGGCTGTTAAGGCTAATGGTCGGGTCAGAAACTGGCCAACTTTGGGCACATGTGTACCACTGTCTGTTCAACAGAAGCCGATCTAATGGCTGGCTTCTGTTGAATGGTCTTACTGGAAAACCAGCATTCAATAAGCGCTTTCAGCCCACACCCTTTTCATTTTTACTGAAAAGCTGAACTAATCCTTTAAAGCACACAGCCCTAAAGAGCCCACAGCCAGTTGGCATAATAATGTTCTGATACCCAACCTTAAAGTGTTATTAAACCCACAACAGTAAAATCAGTCTGTATATGCAGTAAAGCATGCTTGTTATACTCACTGTGGAACCTAATGGGTTAATCCTCTGCATTGTGTAAAAAGGCTGTTTGATCCTTTCTTCTCTGTTCCTCCCCTTTTTCAAGCGACCACCACTTATCTCCAGACTGAACTGTAGGCCTGCACATGCTCAGTTTAGTGTATATTGCTAAAGAGGTTTTTTTTTTTTCTTGGGAGAGTGCATGTGATCAGCATAGGGCCAATCAGAATGTCAAAATCAGAGGTCAGGGGAGTTCCATCCTCCTAGAGAAGAAAATTCCTCCTGCAAGCTTTAACCAGTGCTCTGCTGGACACAGATAGAAGTCACAAGTGCTCTAACTGCTGATGAGAAAAGGTATTTAGCAGTTTATATTTACTAAAATAATTGCACTTCCACGTTCTGTGTACTGTGGGAGACCAGATATAGTGAATGCAGGGTCCTGGCTTTAGTAACACTTTAAGGCTCCGTTCACATCTAGGCTATTTGTATTGCATTCCCAAAACACTCTGCAAAACTGACAAACTGCACCATGCTTCTTCAAGTACCATTCATTTTTTGGCACATAAATGCGGGTGCAATTCTGCAGCGATTGTTGTGCATTTAATCGCACTGCAGTGGCACAAACCACATCGTGCAAAGCTTGTCGCCCCAATAGAAGTTCCCGCTCTGTTAGGGTGACAAGCTGCACGCAACAAATGCAACTTGTCGAGTGACAATCATGGCAGAACCATCCTCACGTTTAGGAGCCATTAAAAAGTATGACACTTTAACAAACAAGGTGCGATTTGTCAGTTTTGCAGAACGTTCTGGGGTTGCACACAGAATCTCAGGAATTCTTCCCACAATACAAAACACGTAGATGTGAACGGAACATAAAGAAAATGAGCCGGTTGAGAAGAGAGTCTACAGTAAGGCCCTGAACACACAATGAAAATATCGGACAAATGATCGTCCAGTTTTTTTTTTTTTTATTTGCATGTTAGTTTCATATCGATATTCTGGTATTGTACGAGAAAAATTTTCCTGCTTGTACCTTCGAATACTTTTGGATAAGAGCTGTGTACTCACAGTCAGATTATCATACAATCGCTTCAAAAGCAATATTGTTCATATCATTTTCTGATAAGGAGTACTAGGGTTAAGGCTAGGTTCACACCTATGTAGGCTGCGTTTTTGCACTTGCTTTTTTAAAAAAAATATTATTGCTAGGCAGATTTAAACCGCAAAACACATAAAAAAACACAATACATGCTTTTCTGCAGCGTTTCCATTGAAGCCTACAGAAAACAAACATAACTTTTGGTGTTCAAAAAAGTCCCTGACCCTTTCCAAAAAACGCACCAGGTGAAAACGCGGAGATGTGAACCTGTCCCATAGGAAATCATATTAAATGGACTGTACTGTGTTTCTGCAAAACGCTGCAGCAAATTCTTAGGTGTTAAACTAGGGTAGGTGTGGTAGGGCAGAGCCTTTTATACTCTCCATTTAAATAGGTAGATGGGCACAATCAACTGTTTTAAAGATACCATCTAGGATACACAGAGATGTGCCCTTTCATGCTGCAATCAGATGAGTGCCAATTACAATGAGGACACCCAGATCTCATCTCCTGTAGAGTTGGATGAGAGATGTAATTGTCCATGCTATTTATTATTACAGGCATTTGTACAGCAGTGACAATTTATGCAGTGCTTTACATCCTGTACAGTCACATCCAGGGGCGGACTGACAACTCATGGGGCCCCCGGGCAATAGGGGATCATGGGGTCCCTGTGTCCTTGACCACACTCAAACCACACCCAAGAAAGCCTATCAAAAAAGGTACCAGGGGCATCTCATGGGGCTCTCTACTGACCCCGGGCATTCGGGCAGTGCCCGAATGATCAGTCCACCCATGAACACACCATGAACCCTGCCCTCAAGGAGCTTACAATCTAAAGTCCCTAACTCACATTCATGCATACATACAGACACATACACTACCAACAGTAGTTTCAGTTCTATTACAGATAATGCATATAAGACCACAAGCTCTATTTAGAAATTATTTAAAATACATCAGATGCATTGTAATAGCCCCCCCTATCCTCCACATTTTGGATCTGTCTCCCCGTCCTGTTTCTTACCATGAGTGATACTTTTAATCTCTATAGTTTTCGGAATCCTCTCTTCAGCTGTTGGTTGTACAGATTTTCTGCTGACCTTGGACTTGAAGAGTGTGTTTATTAATGTCGATTTTCCAAGACCACTTTGACCTAAGAAAATGATGAAGATGAACAATTGTTACATATTTAGGACTTCACTACCGTGCACATTTTTTTCCCATGCCACAGAAATAAAAAAAAAAAAAAAAAAAAAAAAATAGGCAGTGCCAAGGTGCAAGTATTATAGTGCCTATTATTCCCTCCTTTGGCTATACTTACAGCAATGAGTCTTTTGGGGGCAAGTCTGTGCCATCTTTGTACATGCAGACCCTGCAAGGTTTGTCTGTTTTTCTCTGCTAACTTTCTCTTTATCTGCCTGACTAAAGGGAACTGTTGGCAGGCAGTAGAGGTGAGTTTGGAGGTCATAAGAACTCATCTCTATCTGAACATCAAAATTGTGTTTCTTTTTACACCTATCAGCTGCAGGCCAGGTCATTTCCCGCCCTGCAACGCATGTAAACAAAGGTGCAGGATGCTGATGACATCAATGCCCCTATAGGAACACATGTCCACATTCAACTAAATATGGGCAATTGTTTATTTGTACAAGGACACTTCCCTCACCAGCATCCATCCCCTTGTTGTTTATAGGTATTGAAGGGTGGGGAATGACCCGACATGCAGCTAACTGGCATAAAATAATAATTATAATTAAAAAAAAAAAAAAAAAAAATTTGATGTTCAAATAGAAATCAGATCAGAGGATGTCCAAGCTCAACTCTAGTAATCCGCTAATTCAAATCGTGTCACAGATTTTCAACTGGATTGAGATCAAGCCTTTGACTGGGCCATACTAAGACTTTCCGGTTCTTAGCTGTAAGCCACTCCAGTGTAGATTTTGGCAGTGGCTTTGGGGTCATTGTCCTGCTAGAAACTGAACCTACACTCCTTTTCAGGTCTCGGATGATGGCTTTCCATGCTCAAGCCAAAAAGAAATGACTTCACTTCGTACAAACAAAAATACTTTCTATTCTAGTAAAGTCACTCCTGTGTCTTCATGTTCTGATCACAACTATGAGGCTGATGATCATGAGGCCCATGCACTGCCCACATGTTGGTGTTCTGACTGTTTTAAAGCTGTGCGATTTATTTAAATCTCCAACGGCTGTGGTATTCACTTACAGGTCTGTCATGAATGAATGGCAGCAAGCAGAAAATTCATATCAATGATGTTTGAGACAAGAGAAGGTTAACTTGGTATGTTGCAGGCTGGCTGGTAAGTGAGCTGGGAATTTTTGGTTGTTGTTTTTTGACATGTGTCACATTTTTTGACATGTGTCACATTTGTAAATGCGCCAAGACTAGGGATGCACCAAAATTTCGGTGGCCAAAATGTTTCAGGCGAAAAACACCCCTATCGGCCTTTGGCCGATATGAAAACAAGCACCGCTACAGGTGCTGAAAATAACCCCACCCCTCGCCACCTGCCGCCGCCCAGTGCTTCTCAGCCATACCTGAGAACCCATTTAACAATCCTGGCACTGGGCATAGAGATCAGTGAAGGAAAGATGGCCTCCAATCATCTCTCTGCCCTTGGAGGACCAGAGCGACGTCATTATGTCAGTTCCGGCACCTTGTAAACAAGGCCATTTTTTATTTTTTAAAGCCCTAGATCAATGCTTTTTTGATCTAATGTTTTACACTGTAGAGGAGAGATATGGGGCCTTATCGACCCCATATCTCTCCATAAGGAGGACCTTATGGTCATTATATTTAAAAAGGGACAGTGTAAAAGTGTAATTAACCACTTCAAGTCCGGACACTTTCACCACCCTTCCTGCCCAGGCCAAGTTTCAGCTTTCAGTGCTATCACAATTTGAATGACAATTGCGCGGTCATGCAACACTGTACCCATATTAATTTTTTAGCATTTTTTGAGACAGATAAAGCTTTATTTTGGTGGTATTTATTCACCACTGGGATTTTTATTTTTTTTGCTATGTAAATGAAAAAGGCCAAAGTGTTTTTCTTCTAAAATTTTGCAAATAAATAATATTTCATCATAAATCTTGGCCAAAATTTATTCCGTTATCTTTTTAGTAAAAAAAAAATAAAAAAAAATAACCCAAATTAGTTTATAACCCAAAATTATAATTTTTAAAAATTTTTTTTTACATTTTTATATTATTATTTATGGGTTTTTTTTCACATACTGTCATCCTAGCAGTACAGTGTCACCATGGTGACACTGTACTACTTGTGGGGGGTGATAAAGATTTTTTTTTTTTTTACACCGATTGCTTTTACACCCATATAGGCTGTAAAAGCAATCATTTCTCTTTCTCTCTGGCTGCATTCTTGCAGCCATTGAGAACTGTGTGAGCTGTGATTGGTTGTGAATAGCCTTGTACCATGTGACCTCTGTGATCATTCACAGATTTCACTAGTAGTAAGCAATGATGTACATGGTGACCTCATACGTAGGCCACACCCACATATGCAAACTGTGTTCAAACCACACATGTGAGGTATCGCATCGAACGTAAGAGCAATAATTCTAGCACCAGACCTCCTCTGTAACTCTAAAGAGGTAACCTGTAAAAAATTTTAAAGTGTTGCTTATGGGGATTTTTAAGCACCATAGTTTGGCACCATTCCACGAGTGTGCGCAATTTTAAAAACATAACATATTGGGCATCCATTTACTTGACGTAACATCATTCTTCATATTTTGCAAAAAATTGGGGTATATATATTGTGGTTTTTTTTTAGTCAGTAAAGGGTTTTTTTTTCCACAAAAATTGTGTTTGAAAAATATATTAATTTTTAAAAACTGTCCATTTCGGTTAAGTGCATCCTGAATTTTCGATTTTGGCACCAGAATTCTCTTTTTGGTGCACCACTAGCCTAAACACATGTTAACGCTAGGCAGGTTTAGCACTTGAGTATTAGTTCATTTCAAAGGCCAGAATAAATGATTATTTTGGCCAATGAAATGAATTAACGTCCAACCACTTGACGCCTGTAAACGTGCCTAAATGCTTACAAAAGCGCTAGATACTTTTACAAGTGTCAGGCATTTGTACATCTTTTTTTTTTTTTTTTTTTTTTAACAGCCTGTGTGCATGAGGCCTAAGGAGGGGTGGGCTCCCTCCAGACATACCTGCCATCAATCTGTCCATTATTGTATATGTGTTTCAACTTTGGAGACGCTTACATTTATAGAGATGACTGCAGTCTACTGGGGTTCAGTGATGTGGCCGTTGCAGCTTACGCATATACTTGGAAATGTGTGCAAATTGGTTTTAATGTGAATTGTTAGAAAAGGTTACTACGGGTTGTTGCAGGCTGGCAAGTGAGCTGGGAATTTTTGTTTGTTGCTTTTTGACATGCATCGCCCTTCCATGTGCTCCTTGCTGCAAAAGGCCAGTTATAGGTTGGGGTGGTTGCCATTTGTTTGTAGCATTCACTTACAGGCCTGCCATGAATGAATGGGCAGCACAGTGGCTAAATGTATTTATCTATTATTTCAGGTACTTATATAGCACCATCAATGTACGCAGCGCTTTACATATATATATTGTACATTCACATCAGTCCCTAACCCTCAAGGGGTGTACAATCTAAGGTCCCTAACTCACATTCATACATACACATACTAGGGCCATAGGTATGACCGTCATGCATACCAAACGTTGCAAATACTGCAAGAATGTAGATAGGACTGTGTTACTTCTACTGAATGAGGCTTCCTAATAGATAAGGCCTATATCACATTATGTCATGAGTATGTTTACAATGAGCAAAGTCCAAACCCAGTAAAAGAAGAGACTTCTCATACAGAGAGTGGCACCACAACCTACTAGATGAAATACTTCAAAGCATAAATTCCTGACAAAGCATCGTCATGTGTTGTGCAATGTGCATGGCTTTTGTGGATTGTTATGCGATAGCAAACACCTCAGTGCTGCAAAAACAAATCTATCTACCTCCATCTCCTAAAGGCAAAAAGAGATAGACATCTGCACTTTGTTGCAATCCATGAAGAAAAAAAAACGTAAAAAAAAAAAAAAATCACTGAAATCCTTTTGACCAGAAATCACCCCACCCCCTCACACTGAGTTAATCATGTGCAATACCTTGTTAGTAAATGTATATTTTTGTAGCACTCTCCCTGTACTTTAGTTCCCCTGCAAATACCACAAAATATCCTGAATTCATTCTCTCATGTAGGCGGAGCCTGTTTGCACTACAGTAGGATGAGAATACATTGCAAGGGGTGTGGCTTGTAACTGCTGACTCCCAATCCTGTAGCTCCTCAGTCAGCACCTGGCCACACCCAGTTCTGTCCACTACTTTCTAGACTGAAAGCATAGCCTCTGTTGCTGCAACCCTGCCGCTGTGAGCTGCAGTGTCTAGGAGGGGGAGCGTGTGAGATGTAAATGAAGGAGGATTTGACTCAGACAGGGAAGTTTTTTTTGGTTTACTTTACAAGATTTATACATCACAAAGTATCTAGACAGGGCTTAAAATTTCAAGTCCTGAGCTACTAGCCAGGCTTTAGAGTTACTTGCCACCAACAAACACACACAAACAGACACCTGTACACACACACACAAACAGACTCCTGTATACACACACACACACACACGTACATACATACATACATACATACATACATACACACGCATACAGACACATGTATATATACACACACAGGCACGTACAGACACGCATACACACAGATACATGTACATACACAAATACACACACACAGACATATGTACATACATACACACAAACACACAGATGTACATACACACACACAGACACATGTACATACATGCAGACACATGTACAATTGTACATGCATACACAGACACACACAAACACACACACAGGTACACGTATGTACGTACACACACACACCACCCCCTCCATAAAAAGTTGCAGTACTTCGTTGTTCACTCACAGAGCTGGGTACTGCACTCTAGGGGGAGGCAGAGAGCACAGCACACACCCCTTGCTTTGCTTTCACTGCGCTCAGCTATTGAGCACTCTGACGGCTCTTAGTGCCAATGACAGATCCGGCCCGAGCTCAGAGCCTGCTCAGCAAGACAGCCCTGGAGGACACACTCGCCCCCACCATAATTTCCACTCGCCATTGGCGAGCAGAAATTTCAAGCCCTGATCTAGATGGTCATAAACAAGCCTTTATTTGTACCTTAACATGCAGACCCATACATGAAACCTAGTGGGAACGGCATTTATGGACCAATCCACTCAAAAATGATAGGCGAGGTGTGAGGGTGGGCACTTTGACAACAAGGTCTCTGGCATACTTCTCGACTCTATTCCTGTCCATCTGTGAATTTTAGCTGTGCCTTACCACCTTTATGTGTTCCAACACCTCCTGTTACAGTCTCCAAAGTGTAAAATAAAGGTTCCAACAGGGATCTTACTTATAGAGTTCCACAAGAGATATAAGAAATGTCACCTGGTGTAGCCCTTTCATATATAAAAATATTTAAATCTAAGTTTTGTGTTGGACTAGCCGCCTCATGTTCCAACTTTTATTTTTTTTCCATATACAACAATGATATTCATTATATACATGTATACATTTTTGCACTGACCCGGTCAAGGATCAACAAGGTTGCAAAGACACGAACCTGAGAAGAAAGCAGCTTAAAGTGTACCTAAACCAACAACTGTAAAATCAGTCTGTATATGCAGTAAAGCATGCTTCTTATACTCACTGTGGAACATAAGGGATTAATCCTCTACGTTGTGTAAAAAGGCTGTTTGATCCTGACTTCTCTACCCCTGCTCCTGTTCAAATGTCCAAAATAAGACAAGACAGACTGAACCTGTAGCCCTTCTGCACATGCTCAGTTTAGTGTGTATTGCCAGATAAGTTTTTTTTTTCCTTGGGAGAGTGCATGTGATCAGCACAGGGCCAAAAATCACTGTCCAGACAGAGGTCAGGGGTTCTGCATCCTCCTAGAGCAGAAAGAAAACTCCACCTACAAGCTTTAACCAGTGCTCTGCTGAAGTCACAAGACTGCTCTAACTGCTGATAAGAAAAGGTATCTAGCAGTTTATATTTACTAAAATAATTGCATTTCCATGTTCTGTGTACTGTGGGAGACCAGATATAGTGAATGCAGGGTCCTGGGTTTAGTAACACTTTAATATATACTTGTAAGCCAGGTGCTAAAACCCTCCTAACAGTTTTTTCTAGCTTTTTTTATTCTACATGTACTGTAAAAACCCTAATAAAATGCTAACGTTTCTAAATGCTACTAAAAAAACGCTATTACCAGCGTTTTTTAAGCTTAAAAAAAAAAAATTACAAAAAAAACAAAACAAAAAAAAAAAAAAAAAAAAACGCTACTGTGCAGGCATCATTAAACCAGCTTCAGTTCAACCCAGTTACTGCTTGGACCACTTCAGAGGTTTTAGCAAATGGGCTGATGGACTGGTAAGTATAATGCTGCAGGCAGGTTAGTGTCTTTGCAACTCTAACTCCTTTACATGCATGTTATAACAGAGGTTTTCAGTATATTGTAGTTGCATACTTTGTCATTTAGGTGATGCCGCTGCATAAGCATTATGCATTTTTAGTGGATATGAACCAATAAAGCACAAGAACCACATCCTTTTTTTTTTGTTTCCTAATGTCCATCCTTTGACCCAACACGGATACCTGGTTCCTAATAACAAACTGTATGTTTCACTTTTGTATTGTCCTACTGGCCAAATGTTGTGGCTATTTGTTAACTGCATTTTCACATCAAAAAAAAAAAAAAATGAATTAAAAAAAATAAATAATAAAAAAAAAAAAGCTCAAGAACCAAAAGCAATTGTATAAAAATGTTCTTCCATGATAATCACAATTCAATAGGTTGTTCAATGGGAGTCACAATTATATGACGTTGCTTTATTTGTTTCCCTAAAATATGGATAAAGATGCTCACCAACCACCATGATGTTCAGCTCGAACCCTTGCTTCATGGCCTTTTTCCTCATCTGCTCCAAAATAGCATCTATTCCCACATATCCAAAATCTGTGGCTGGCTTCTCCCCTACACCCCGGGTGGGAAGGGGCTGCTTCACCCCTGCGTCCCTGATCACGTCCGTCATGTTGGCAGCGTACGGCTGAGTGTCCTCAATAACTGTTGGAGAAAGCCAAAAGAAAATGGTAAGTGTTGTGGTTATACCTGTAGGAACGCATGTCAATTTAACAAAATATACTATAAGGCCTTGGTCATACAGAGCCCCTTTTAGAGCAGGGGTCTCCAAACTTTCTAAACAAAGGGCCAGTTTACAGTCCTTCAAACTTTAGGGGGACAAGACTGTGGCCACTGGCAGTCAAAAAGGTCCCAACGTCAGAGGGAAAAAAATGCCCCATCTTTGGTGTCAGTGCCCTATCATTTTTTTTGTCATTGGAAGAAATTGTGCCCCATCATTGGCGTCAATGGGGGGGGATAATGGCCCACTGTTGGCGTTTTAGAAAAAATCGTGCCCCTTCATTGGTGTCAGTGGGGGGAATAATAACGGCCCATTATTGGTGTTTTAGGAGAAATTGTGCCCCTTCATTGGTGTTAGTGGGGGAATAATGGCCCACTGTTGGTATTTTAGGAAAAATTGTGTGCCCCTTCATTGGTGTCAATGGGGGGAATTAATGGCCCACTGTTGGTGTTTTAGGAGAAATTGTGCCCCTTCATTGGTGTCAGTGGGGGGAATAATGGCCCATTATTGGTGTTTTAGGAGAAATTGTGCCCCTTTATTGGTGTCAGTGGGGGGAATAATGACCCATTATTGGTATTTTAGGAGAAATTGTGCCCCTTCATTGGTGTCAGTGGGGGGAAAAAATGGCCCATTGTTGGTGTTTTAGGAGAAATTGTGCCCCTTCATTGGTGTCAATGGAGGGAATTAATGGCCCATTCTTGGTGTTTTAGGGGAAATTGTGTCCCTTCATTGGTGTCAATGGGGGGAATAATGGCCCATTGTTGGTATCAGTGAATGAAATAGTGCCCCAAGGGCCGGATAAAAGCAAGCAAAGGACCACATCTGGCCCTGGTGCCACAGCTTGGAGACCACTGTTGTAGAGCAACTGCACATTAAAGTGGAACTCCAGGTTTATATCTCAGTACATGCTTGACATACACGTATGGTTGCTGTTTATGCTGGAAAAGAATGTGACATTTTGGCCAGCCATTAATGCAATACATACACCTCTGACCCTCAGTATGATGACCCTGCTGATTCCTGGTTTAGTATTGCTGCATACAGGGCCACTTTCTTGCTTGCTGGACAGAGGTGATGATCCCAATTCACAGTCCAATGGGGAAGCAGAAAGGTGATACAGGAAGCTGAATGGCCCATGTAGAATAGCCTGTCCCCTGCCACCAAAGTGCAGAGAGGGAGGAAGCAGAGATCTCAGTGCAGAGGTCCGACAAGCCTCCTGCTGACTCAGAGCCAGAGATCTCCAAATCAGCTGGGAGCATGAACTTTGCTGATTGGAGATAGAGGGAGCATGTTGGACCTCTGCAGTGAGATCACGGCTTCCAAACAGAGAACAAGAACTACGGCATCTGGCAAGACACAGTTTTTTTTTTTTTTTGTTACTCAGGCTGTGGCTGCTTTAGAAAAGAACAGTTTGGCTAGGTTCACACTTGCCTGCACAGTAAAATGCAGCATTTCACTGTACGAGTAGTGTCAGTGTCGGCTCCAGCAGGGAGTGGTGTGATGCAAGTTTTAGCTTTTTTTTTTTTTTATTATTATATTTGATTGGTAGTAGCACAGAGATAAATTCATTCTTGTTACTGCAGTGCTGTGGGTGCTATCCAGTGTGCTGTGGTGCTATCCAGTGTGCTGTGGTGCTATCCAGTGTGTGCTGTGGTGCTATCCAGTGTGCTGTGGTGCTATCCAGTGTGCTGTGGTGCTATCCAGTGTGCTGTGGTGCTATCCAGTGTGCTGCAGAAATAACACAGACATGATGCATGCTTCTTCACTGAACACATCATATATCAACCTTGTCATGTGACAGAGGCACATAGAAAACAATATGTTTTCTATGTGTTCTAGCAGTGATTTGCATTTATCCAGTGCAGGAAATTGCAGGTCAAAGCACACAGTGTGAACCAGCCCTTAGACACTGAACACCTTTAGTCACCGGCCACACCGCTGCGATTTAAAGTTGCGCGATGTGTGTGCAATTTCAGGCGCAATTCCTGAAGACTTTATTGGTACTTGTGAAGATTTTCAACGATTTCTTGCAATTTGCAGTACGATTTTCATTATATTCTATGTATGCAAACCACAACAAAACTGCAGAAAAAGGAATGCAAGAATTACAGCAATTCGCACATGTTAAGACACTGACATTCATTAGATGCGATTTCAGTTCAATTTCAATTGGCAAATAGCACCTGAAATTGCACCGGTATGACAAGGCACTTCGCTTTGATGTACTACAAATGTACTCATCTGATTAAAACGGACAACTCAATGGGAGTGATTTACTAACACGCCGGTCACATCAAAGCCATATTTGAAATCATGAGACTTACAGTGAAGTCGCATGATTTCAAAGTTGGGTGACTTGCCGATTTGAGGTGCGATTTGCAAGACATCTGACACAGATGTCTATGCAAATTGCACCAAAAGCAGTGCATGCACTACTTTAGAAATCAGTGCGGCTCCGACCAAGTCGGAAACGCACTGATATGATCGCTGTAATAGCGCACAAATTGCATACCAAGTCGCATCAGATGTGACCGGGGGAGTTAAACTGGAGAGTGCAAAATCTGGTGCAGTTCCGCATAGAAACCAATCAGCTTCCAGGATTTTTGTCAAAGCTTAATTGAACAAGCTGAAGTTAGAAGCGGATTGGCTATCGTGCACAGCTGCACCAGATTCTGAGTGCTCCAGTTTTAGTAAATCAACCCCATTGAGCTTTAATTCGAACTAAGCATGTCAACTGTCCTGGCTCTGCGATGAGGAACACGTGTGCAACACGCATGAATATTGCAAATCCAAAACCAGTAAACACATATGTAATTTAAGGCTCCGTTCACACCAATGCGTTTTTTTTTTCAGTGCTTTTCACAGAATCGCACTACAGTCCATTTAACATGGTTTCCTATGGGACATGTTCACATCTATGCTTTTTTTTGAGCTGCTGCATTTTTGGAAAGGGTCAGGGACTTTTTTAAAAGCAGCGTTTTTGTTACAATAGAGTTCAACGGAAAATCTGCTGAAATGCATGGTAGTGTGTTTTTGCCGCATTTTGCATTTTTATTCTGCCCAGCGAAAAAAAAAAATTTCCACTTTTTTAAAAAAAAAAAAAAGCTTAACGAAAACGTGTCAAAAACGCATGTAGAAAAAACGCAAAACAAACTGCGAAAAGCACTGAAAAACGGACAAAAAGCAAACTGCATAGGTGTGGATAGAGCCTAAATGAATATTTAGCTGTTTCCTGATTAATGGGCAGTCCTGCAGAGCTCCTATCCGCTGCCCATTAATCGGCATGCCTGTCCAACAATGAACACTCATGATTAAAAATGTGGGCAGCCAACCCAGGAAATGGTAATGAAGGGCAATGAAAAGTAGAAGAGGTTGATGACAGTATAAAGGATTGATCAGAGAAGCAAGTTGTCACCTGATTCAGATTCTGTACATTTACCCAGCAAGTTCTTACACAGATTTATTGGCTGCTTCCAGGTAAAGTATGGCCCAATACAGGTACATGGAAGGGAAGAGAACGTTGGCAAACAAGCCATTAAAGATGTGCTGATGGAGGCAACATTTACTCTGACAATAGTATTATTAACGGCAAATATTAGGACATTTACATCAGACACCTTGGCGTGGCTTTCACATTTATATTTCCTTTCTGTTCCATACTGTGACTGTTACGTTAGATAAGTACAAACTCTAGTGCTCATGCGTTTTGTTTTAAGTGATTCTAAAGCACTAAGACAGGGGTCTACAGTGTGCGGCCCACAGCCTAGATGTGGCCCTTTGCTTGTCTTTATCTGGCCCTTGAGCACTATGCCTTCCGCTGACACCAAAGATCTAGCATTATTCCTCCCACTAACACCAATGACGGGGCGCTAGTCCTCCCACTAAACACCAATGACGGGGCGCTAGTCCTCCCACTAACACCAATGACGGGGCGCTAGTCCTCCCACTGGCACCAATGACGGGGCACTAGTCCTCCCACTGGCACCAATGACGGGGCACTAGTCCTAACACCCACTGGCACCAATGACGGGGCACTATTCCTCCTAGTAATACCAATGACGGGGCACTAGTCCTCTCACTAACACCAATGACGGGGCGCTAGTCCTCCCACTAACACCAATGAAGGGGCGCTAGTCCTCCCACTAACACCAATGACGGGGCACTAGTCCTCCCACTGGCACCAATGACGGGGCACTATTCCTCCTAGTAATACCAATGACGGGGCACTAGTCCTCTCACTAACACCAGTGATGGGGCACTGTTCTCCCCTCATTGATACCAATGACGGAGCACTGTTCCCCCCCCCACTGACGGAGCACCAATGACGGGGCACAATTCCTCCCACTGACACCAATGACGGGGCACAATTCCTCCCACTGACACCAATGACGGGGCACAATTCCTCCCACTGACACCAATGACGGGGCACAATTCCTCCCACTGACACCAATGACGGGGCACCATTCCTCCCACTGACACCAATGATGGGGCACCATTCCTCCCACTGACACCAATGACGGGGCACTATTCCTCCCACTGACACCAATGACGGGGCACTATTCCTCCCACTGACACCAATGACGGGGCACTATTCCTCCCACTGACACCAATGACGGGGCACTATTCCTCTCACTGACACCAAAGACAGATCACTATTTTTCCCACTGCCACCAATGATGGGGCACTATTCCTCTCACTAACACCATTGACAGGGCACTATTCCTCTCACTAACACCAATGATGGGGCACTGTTCCTCCCACTGACACCAATGACAGGGAACTATTCCTCCTACTGACACCAATGACTTGGCACTATTCTTCCCACTGACACCAAAGATGTAATTTTTTACTCCCACTGACCACCAAGCCTATGGCATTGTTTACTCCGACCA